TTGTCGTCGCCCAACAGTTGACAGGTTGTACGTCTTAGCTCCGCGGCGATGCGTCTAGCCTCGTCTATATCGTCTACTTGAATCTGTCGCGGTATCTGTCGCGCGATCGGGTTCACTATACGACCGATGTCGTTGCGTTTGTTCAAGCCGATCGCGGCATCGTCCCTCTGATTGTTCAGCTGAGGTAATCGCGAGGTATGACCGATCGTCGGTTTGCTCGCAAGCTCCCCGTCGTTCGCGCTGTTGACACTGGCTTGGAGATCAGAATAGTAATAGGGCGCTCCCGATTGATCGTTCTGAATACGCTGCTCGCCCACGTTCGGCAAATACGACTGTTGCAACGCGGGATTGGAAGCCTGCATCGGACTGGGATAATGACTCGAGTCCTGGCTGGAGGTCGATCGATGGTTCGGCAACACGTGTCGCACGCACGTGTCGTGACTGGCGGACCTCGAGTGACACGGGAATCCCGTGTACGCGTTGCCGCGATTCACCGAGGACGCGAACGCATTCATGGCGGAGTGCATCGAGGATTGCGCGCTGGCGGGTCTCTGGCAGACCATGGACGTCGAGATTGACGCTGCGATCGACGCATTCGAGTAACTCGAGTCCCTGCTGTGAGAAACTGGCAGCGCAGTAATGCTCTGCGACCCGCTCTGTATCCTGTCGCGCGTCGGCGGTTCGTCGCTGTCAGGTCGAATCGCCGGTGAACCGCGAAGTGGCGAAAAGCTCGCGACGTTCTCGTAATGCGCGTCACCGGTGAAAGACTGCGAATGTTGATGCGAAGGTGGTAGATCGGACACCCTCATAGACGGTAGACTGCTCGCCGAGCCGGTCTTGTTTTTGCCGGAATAATCGAACGGCCGGTCGAGATTGCTGGACATTAATTTCATCTTTCTCGACAGATCCTGACACGTGGTTTTCTGCAATTTATCGACCACCAGCATGTTCTCGTTAAATCCGTAAATGCTGTTGTAGCTCAAATCCTTCGCGTAGAGATCCACGTTGAATGCATCTCTGGCCTGTAATTCCTCCAAGTATTGATCGAGGTCGATGCTCGCGCCGTCGAAGCGACTTCCCAACGACTCCAACTCATCTAGACTGTCCAAAACCTCGCAAACGTCATCGCTGACAGGTCTTCTCTTCAATTGTCTGTGGCGAGCTTCCTCTTCCGGATTTCTAAGCTCGACCGAATCGCTCCCGGATGCACTCTCCAGCGATATCCTGCTGTCTCTGAAGGTGGAGCTGATGGTCGCGTCCGAAAATCTCGACGGCGGCCTATGCGTCTCCACCTGACCCATCGCTTTGTTCCAAGACTTTGGAGAATCTCGATTCGAGTTGTCTTTCGTCGTGGCTACTTGAGGCGATACCTTCTTTATCTCTAATGACTCTTGCATATCCAAAGAATCTAGGTCATCTAATGGCGGCGGGGAAGTTGGTATCGGTGGCGGGGAGACTAATTCGCTGTCCGAAGAATCATGTAATTCTGCAATCATGTTGCGACTAGCTCCCAAGTAATAGGAGGCTGGTCGAAAGGTGTCGGACAAACTGAAACGTGGATGTCGCGGCGCGTTTATAGAGTCGAGATCTTTGGACGACTCGTCGTCGGCGTCGGAACTGTCGGATTTGAGCGCTGTCAGAATGTCGGGCAGATCGCTTCTCGGATGCGGCGAATTTTCGTTGCTCTTCTTCTTCATTAAGGATGTTTTATCATTATTTTCGTCTTCTTTCTCGGATAATTGACTCACCTCCATGTACACCGGTTCCATCTTGTTGTCCGACACACAGACAAATTCGTAATGGGACGCATCTAGCGTAGAATAATCGCTGGAATCGTGTTTTACGCCGTCCTCATTTGGTGCCAGAAGAGAGCGATTCATTCCGTTCTGCGCCATCTCCACGTACGAACTTTCCTCGTGCTCCAGATTGGCAAACAGGCTTTCCATTATTTTAGGATTCGGTCTGTCGTCGCTATTCGGATCCAATATAGCTTTCCTAGGAGACATAGGAAGGTAATGATCTTCGCTGTTGATATCGTCCTGCTTCGAAATAGGAGCGATCGGATCATTATCATCGGGAAATTGATCGCCATGCGTTAACAAAGATTCGGTTATGCTTGTTCTGACGCAATTGGGATTCGAAATCATATCTAAATCATCGGGTGGCACGCAGAGTTCGGTCGGATTGTCTTTCGAGCTGGCCATCTTGCTTTGAGATTCATCAGCATTTTGCACTTGCATGCCAGTATACAGAATATCTGCAGTGAAACATTGCGAAATGGCTTCGTCCATTTCATTTCCTTTTTCGATAAATTTTCCAGCATCTCGATGTTCCATATTACTGTCAATGTCATACCTTAACGTGTCATTATCGCCATGATCATCACAATGTTTTGAGTCTTGCCGTTTTTCACATCTCTGCCGATTAATCTGTTGCGATTTTCGTTCAAAGTCCGCCAGAAGATCCTTGACCGACTTGTTACTATCAGACGAGGCTTGCTTAGCGTGGCCTTCTTCCACGCTTTTGTGCTTGGAAGCGTTCTCCGAAACGCTCGGATCGCCCAGAGCGAAGCTACGAATGACGGTCGAGCTTTTGTTCGCGCAATCAAGTTTCGAAATGTGAGCTTCGGTCGCCTGCAGCGGCGACACTTTCAGCGGCTCCTGCATAGACAACGTCATCGTGACGGGACTGGAGCTGTCCATGTTCGTCATCTCGAAGGATCTGATTCGGCATTGTACCAGATTCATGCTCTCGGATTTTTCGTCTTCCACTTTCGGCGACGTCCCCGTTTTCTTAGGATTAATATACTGATAAGAGAATTCTTTGATGACTTTACTCTCATCGATGCCGGGATCCCATTCGTCATTATCGTCCTTGGAATCCCACTGTACGTTCTTTTGCCAGGACTCACTGCCGCGATATCCGCGCGCGTTATCCGATTTGTTGCTGTCGATTTCGGCTTGCTGTCCCTCGAATTGTCGTTGATCGTAACCGTAAGAGGTCGACGTCTTCAGGATTCCCGACGGTTTCTTCGGAGTCTTGTGAGTCTTGAGCGCGGAGTCCTCGTACGTGGCTTCTGGATCCGTCCTCCTGGACGACGATCGCCTATCCATCGTCGACGGCGCGTACGCGTAATCGTTTCTCGCCATCGGCGGGAAACTCACCTCGTCGTAACCCGCGTCCGGCGGAATGCCGCCTGCGCTTCCACCCGAAATCGTCTTGCGAGTGTTAAACGTTTGCGATTGCGAAGTCTGATTAACGCTCGTGCGGCCGCCGATTCCGCCGGGGGATATCGTGACATCCTGGACGGCCGACGTCGCCGTCGATGACCGAGGGCTCCTTCCTGCATGCGTGGGTCTGCGCGTGCGCTTCCTCCGGACATCTCCCAGCTCTAATTCGTTCGTTACAAAACACAAAGACACGAGCAACGTACGTTACTTATGTGTATGAGAAAAAAAAATCTTTTTTTAACCCATTTACATATTCCCTTTTCTAAACCCATCATACAGATTTAAGCCAGCTCGCCAAGCGCGATAACGACGTCGAAGATCATTGCATTGATCAAAAACGTATCACTTATCTATGTTAATCATTAGTAATATCATTTGTAATAACTTTTTGAGAGAATTATATATATATATATATATATATATATATATATATATATATATATCTTTACATTTTTATATTTTGATATTGGTTAATTTGTGAAAAGAGTTTTACATCTCGATAATTTGGAATCAAATTTTAAAGCTGACGAATCGCTAAACGTTTGACAACTAAATTAAAGAGAACAGTTTTTTTGTCGCGATATTTGATCGTGCAATGATCCCGATGATCGAATGATTGATTTTGCGGTTAATCGTAGGTAGCGAACACGCGAGCTGGTAGATAAATGCGACCGTATTTGCGTAGCTACGGCAAATAGTGTTAGTGAAATTCTTTGGCATGCCATGCTGACCCATATTTTCTACGGCAATCTAATTACGATCGGTGTTAAATCGAACAGGATATTAATATTCGATCATTTGGACAGTTAAAAAGTTTTAAGATTGTTAATCGTTTCCCATTCACCAGTCAGCCTAGACCCAACAGCAGCAGATAGAAGGAGCCCCCGCGGAGAAATGTATCGCTCGCAGATATGTATGTTTTAATTGTTTTTTTTTTTTTTCTAATTTCTTCTCGTTTCATCCTTATTTCGCATTTCGTTGAACTCTTCTACGTTTCCTCGACGATTATGTATTAATATAAGAGAAAGAAAAAATCAAGGAAAAAACACGCAACTTCGATTTTTGTAATTTTCGCAAATCGCGAATAATTCAGGCGCATCGCATTGATTGCAATATTCGCATAATCGGGCATAATTTTTGTTAAATATTTTTTGTTAAATTATAAAACATCTCTACATATGCCTTTGATTGAGAAACAGAAACATGCTGATAATTGATTTGCCACAAAGGGATTAATCGACATAGCACTTGAGGAGATATTTCAATTCCAACGTACACGAGCACCAGGAACAAAGTACAAAATTCTTGACATGCATTCTCGTAAAGAAATGCTTTACTTTGCGCGAACAAATATGCACATATTAGATTTCTCACCGTGTTAGCAATTACACACGATTATGTTAGAATCTGGATTAATTTGTAGCTTACTATAAACAACTATCTACTTTTTAAAATTGATACATCGCAGACGGAGCGCTTTCGAGGGACTCGCATTGGTCAAAACGATTTAAGTGAAAAGATTATCGAGCTTTTTTCTCAAGACAAAAAAACCAAGAGAGCAATTTGATCGGAGATAAAGTTCATGATATTTTTTTTTGGTCAAATATACCTTTTTTTTTTTTTTTTTTAAACACGCATAATCAATATATACACGGCCGAAAGAATTAATTGTCCGTGTAATTTTCAACATATCTCGCGACCGGGGTCCCTCGGTTACGCGGGGCGACGAAACTACCACTTAAATGATAAGTTCAGGCGAGCTGTCCCTACCTTCGTCATCGCTGGAATAGCTGTTATAGCGTGGCACGTTGACGGCAGTCCGACGGCCGTCCGAGCTCTTGCTCCTGACATGCGAACGATGCCCGTCTTCCCGCCTACGGGAGTGACGACCCTCAGCCACGGCGGCCTCGTGCGCTGCCAAATCCAGCAGCGCCTGTTGCTTGTAGTAACTCGAAAGATCATTTTGTGCCCTGCCCCGATTGGCCGAACCGGATGGCTTTCGCGTTAACGGGGATTGCAGCATACGCTGCTTCCATTCCAGCAACCGCTTCATCGACTCTTCGCGCTATAAAATGTATATCGTAACCCTTCATTAGCTATGCAACGAAAAAAAAAAATGTGAGATAGTTTGAGGATATTTTGGAGATTTCGACTTTGCTTTCATATTTTAGCAACGCAGAATCTTGAAACCGCTTCTAATTATTACGACAAATTTTTATTACGATGATTATGTTATGGTATCTTTTTTATCGATTCAAATTTATAATAATATTAAATTGTAGTAATAATAATATATTATTATAATAATATATTACCATTTTCGCGTGGATGAAAATAATTAAATTTTATGTATGAAAATTTAGTTAAATAATATATATTTATATTTACTCATATATCTTTTTATTGTATTTTGTTTATCAGTTGTGTTAAAAATATATTATTTTAGCATCAGAATGTTACAAGTCCCGAAATTTTTTTTGATGTGTGTAATTAATAAAAAAAATTAATGTTTATATGTGAGTATCGAGCAAATTTATTTTTAAAAATTTTATATACGTAATATTTATATACGATTCTTTAATCTTCTATATATAAAATGAAGCTTATAATTGTACGAGTATATTTCAATTTACAGTTCAAAAATTAATTACTTTTATATAATCCGAAACTATTATTTTTGTTTTTTATCCCCTCCTCCTCTCTTCTTATCGAAAGATGTCTTTTAATTTATTGTTTCCTATTTTCTGCAAGAACTGCATCGTAATTGTAGGATCTAATCGGGAGAGAAATAAACGTTTAAAAAATTTCCGATAATAATACAAACTGAAAAATCTAGAAAATTATGAATACGATTGGACTAATGTAATAACAATGATAATAATGAAGTGAAAACGATGGTGAAAGCAAAGACACGAAGAGAGTCGAGATGACGTAAGACGACACAAGTTGTGTAGCTATGCAACAGAGCTATCGTATGAATCATGCTCGTCCACCGATGTTACGGTGGTCTTGTACAAGCTGATACAAGCAATGCTGATGACCTACAGCTATCTACCTGATTCAAAGAAACGGCTCGCTGCATGACTCATCCCAGATTTTCCGAAATAGAAACGGAGCAAGGAGCTCGAAACGGAAATGTATTCGTACGGCGAAAGACTTATTTCAACATTTATCGATTTGTATTACAAAATTGTATTGCAAATTCACTTATTAATAGCTATTCTACAAAAATAAATTTTTTATTCGTATAAAAATATAAAATTGCTTTTTGGAAACCATCAGAGAAAGAATATTTATTTAACAACTGGACTTTACTGTAGCCCAACATTTTGGAGCAGTATACGGGAGCAGTAAATCATCAGAGAAAGAATATTTATTTAACAACTGGACTTTACTGTAGCCCAACATTTTTGGAACAGTATACGGATCTGCCGAACAGATTTCTCACGAATTAAAGATAAAGAATAAATATATTCAACACGATGTAATCAAAGAGATTCTAATAATGAAACTATATAAAGATACTATATGCAAATTCTATTACGAGGTTCAATCTTGAAAGAAACGAATGAACGCGAAAAAACTGTATGGGGAACGTTGGATCTCTTACCTGCTGAATCTTGCGTTCACCATCCCGCGAATCCTGCTCGGAGGACCTCTCGGCGTAGTCGTCGTCGTCGGGATCAAGCGCGGCGGGATGTCGTGTCCTTGGCAGACGCGCCGATGCCGATCTGCAGAACTGCTGCTGCTCGCTCCATCGTCTGCCACCACCTGCGTGACCACCGGCGTGATACGTCTGAGCGATGTGGGTTCCGTGGACACTGTGACTCGTCGTTCTTCCCCACCCGTCGTACTCGCCACGAGGTACCCTTCGCGGGATCGTGTTGTCCTCGCCACCATGCGTTATCATCTCGCGGCCATTCGCCTCGTAGCTCTTCTCGCGCAACGATCTTCGGAATTTTGGGTCATTGCCCATTATCCTGATACGAAGCAGGAATTGAGATATACATTTTTATGTATTTCACGAGAAAAATTGTCTTCTCCTTCTTCGATTTGTCAATTTTCAGAAACTAGGATTTATAATGGTTCTTTGAAAAAGCATCGCACAAAGTGCGTTAAATATATTACATATTCATATGTTGTTTCAAATAGAGAGGTGCAAATCAGGAATTGAGGTGTACAAAATTTATATATATTTTTATATATTTCGCGAGAGAAATTGTCTTCTCCTTTTTCAATTCTTCAATTTTCATAGAAACAAGGATTTACTAAAGGTTCTTTAAAAAATCATCGCGCAAAGTGCGTTAAATATATAATATATTCATATATTATTAAAATAAAGTGGTGCAAGCTATCGTATTATTTAAAAGCGACATTTTGAAATTTCTGAATTTCGATGAAACGTTAAACGCGGGCTCTGCGGCATGCGGCTTAATTATATATTCGGATAATGTACTGCGGTGACTCACTCGGAATGTCTCTGCGTCAGCGACTGAGGGGGCATCGTGTGTTGCCCGTGAACGTGATCTCGCTGGGTGCGTCTCAGAGCGGGGCAGGTGGAATCCGGCAATATGGCTATTCTACTCTCGTCAGTCTTGTCACGGATACCCGGCAGTTTTGGCTGCATCGTGACGCGCGAGAGAGACTGATTCCGCTGTTGCTGATAATGCTGCGGGGTCTGGTGCAAATAAACCGCAGACTGCCGCATCTGTGCCGCGTATCTAAGTACAAAAAAACGCGCGATGCAAACTCCTACGGTTATTTGAAGATGATTTTTCCTCAGCGAAAATGTCGAGAAAGGCCATCATTTTTTAATGTTCCCAATTTTTGAAATTATGTATCTTTGTAACTAAGTTTAAAAATAAAAATTCTATTACAGTAAACTTTACCTGAAATTAACTAAATGTAGTTTTGTTAATAATTTATCTTCACAAGGCTTAATTTACAAAAAAAAAGCTTTTATTTTTAATCGTTTATAACTGGAAAATTATTGGTGCTTGGGCATTTTCGCTGAGGAAAAATCGTTTCCAAATCGTCTCAAGAATCTTCCATTAACGTGTGGGTACAGTAAGTTTGGGATACTCTGTATATTCGTGCAATAAAACGTAAAAAAAAAAAAAAAAAAAAAAACAAATGAAATACCTTTCTTCGGAGTAGAAGTAACCATCGTTGGTCGCATCCGACGGATTCACTATATCTAGGCTGGACTTAGGCCTCTGCGGACGTCTCTGCTGATCCGGTGGCCTCTCGCATTGCGCGGGTTGTTGCTGAGGTCGTCTCGTCGCTTCGTATTCTAGAAAATCAGCACTGTGCGGTCGCGGTGGCGGTTGAATTCTCGTCTTCATCGGCACTAAAAAAGAAGCAAATCGTGACGCCCTTTGTATATTACCACGTCGAGCTTTATCGGTTACAACATTATTCAAGATCCTTTGCCACGCGGAGAAAAAGAAAGGCGCGAATTTTTACCGTGAGACGATGCGATGCGCAAAAAGAGAAAATCTAGGTCGTAACTTTTATTATCTCTCATTACGAGTATTATAATTTTAACGCGATATAAAATTAATTTTTCAATTTGGAATTAACTCGTATCTTTATGATCTCGCGAGCTGCGAATTAATATTCGTCCGCGATAATAAGAAAATACGGAGCCCTTGCTACATCATATTGCGATAAACGCACGGCAACTTTTTTCAAACTTTAGAATAATAAACTTTTTTAGAATCTTTTCATCAAAGGAATATTACTCAAAACACGCGCTGGAAACCACCGTGCTTGCACGGAAAAGTTATCAAAGCGCTGTTTTATGTTCATTACCTTTTTTTAATACAAGACTCGAATTCTCTTTGCGCGACAATGCGACGAAATGCGAAAAACATATAGAAAGACCGAGATTGTTGTCGCTGAAATAGATTCCCGGGACGCGCGCCTTAACGGCCCGATAAGAAAGCTCGCTTTGTAACATAAATGAGAAGAGAGACGTTACTTTCAAACATACATCCGCGTAAAATGTTTTCACCTTTTGCTCGTTTACGGCACTAATTACGGAGCGCCTTTGTGCGCGAGCAGCCGCGAGAAGAAGGTAAAGAAAACAAAGAGACTCACTGTGCGGCGGCGTGACGGGTGAGTGCAACAGTTGCTGTAGATGTTGCTGCTGCGCGTAAACGGGGATGGGAATTGGCGCCGGGGACGCACCCTTGGTGTAACCCACGGGACCAGCGGGTCTCTGGTAGAGCGGCGGAGTGCCGTAGAGCTCCTCGTAGTCGCCATTACCCCTGCTGCTGGTTCTCGGCTTCGCGCTACGTCCGTAGGTGTCCGGGGTCCTCCTTTCGGTCGGTTGCGCGATTTGACCGTAGCCGTAATTCAGGCCGGACTTGTCGGTCCGCAGACTCTGATGCTGCGGCGGCTGATTCATCCGCGTGCCGTAAATCGTGTTGCTCCTCTCGTAATCGGACATCGGACTTTTACTCGTCACCGTAACGTCCGGCGAGACCGGACTTTTCCGATAATCCGGATCGGGTGACGGTGTCGAGTACTCGTTTGAACCGTCCGTCAATCTTCTCGGTTTTGGCGGCGCGTTAGCGTAAATCGGCTGTCCGAATTTTCGGGACATAGGCTGCACCGTCTGAACGTTGCCCGCGATGGGATGCGGCATGGATTGAGACGACTGTTGCTGCTGCTGCTGCTGCGGCGATTGCTGGAGCATGTGCTTGTGCGGATGCGACGACTGATGGGGCGGCAGCACGTTTGCCTGGGGTAGATGCTGATGCAACAACGCTTGATGCTGATGCGAGTGGTTCGGTTGCAGTTGCTGCAAGTGTCCGTATTGTTGCTGTTGCTGCTGCTGCTGCGATTGCGGTTGAGAGGTGCTGGGTTGACCGTAATTCGAAATTGGCTGCGGCACCCAACCGTTCATCATCGGGTGACCCGAGTCGCTTCCGTGATTGTTGCTGGCGGAGTTGCCGTTGCTGTTGCTGCTGCTGAGATTCGGGAAGGAGGCAGTGTTCGCGCTGTTCGGACTCGAGTTGTTGTTCGACGCGTGGCTGGGATCGTCGCGCGATTGAAAGCCATGGAAGCCTGAGTCGCTGTCGTCGGCGCTTTGATTCAGGATCGACGAGATCGACGAGACGCTGGGCCGAGCACTTCGCTCGCCGTCCTGCGCTATCTCGATCACCACTGCAGCCTCGCCCATTCCACTTGAGAAGAAAGTCAAATTGAGAGCTATGACATGAACTTCGCACGTCGAACTTATAGATATTTGTTCGAGTCTATCGATCGTAACGTAAATCATCGATATTGAATTTAATATAGTTGAATCACCAGGTAAAATATGTATGTCTGGCAATTTTTTTTTATGCACACTATATTAGTAAAATTATCGTTGCTGAATACATACATCGAGCGCACATATGTATAAATGAAAGGGATTATTTTTTAATACTCTCTTTTCACCGCGCGTTCTCCAATTTCGCGTTTCAAGCAAAATTTATATCCCGACCAGTTCGAGAAACCTTCTCATTTTACTAAATGTAGAAAAATTAATTCTCGCCATTGTTCCGCGCTGAACTGCTAAAACGCATATGTCAAGAATCTACTTGGTATTTTTCAACTAAATAACGGTAAATCGATTTTTCGGTGGATAAATGGGCAAACAATAGACGACGACGACCAAGCTCGTTTAAAACGTACGTTCATTGTCCGTATCGGAGTGCCGCTGACGATGCGCTAAATAGACAATGAACTAGTTGGGGCCTCATCCACCGTCGTTATTTCGCGAGTCAAATAACTCTCGGGAAACTAACTAACGAGATTGATTAGCTACGCCGCGATAACGCGCGAACGACAGATGCGCTGTAGCGTCGCGATACTTTCATCGTTCAAATAAACCACCCTGGTAGCTGCGACGCGACGTCCCAATTTCCTTTGCGGAATATCAAAGAGACGTTCGCCGTCACTCTATTGCAGTATCGAATTAACTTTCGAGATTGCCACTTCGAACCATGTTTAATGTCACAAAGTGTTGTGACATTAAAAGATGACATCTTTTAGAAGAGTAGTTAGCAATATCCCTGAAGAGATACTTCATTCTTCCGTAAAATGAAAATAAATAGTAAGTCCTCGTAAGTTCGAGGAAAGATTTCTGGTATAAAGAAAAAATTCCAAGTACTGCAAAATTTTCATGATATTTACACATTTTCGAATTCATATATTTTAAAAAAGTATTGTACTTGAGAAACTGGAATCGGATGTAAAAAGAATGAGAGATAAAATTTAACGATCTTTCTGCAATTTTAAAGCATAGAGTGATACTGTAAAATGGAGGGAAAATTACGGGTAAGAGAGGGAATGTGAAACGAGAGAACATTATAGAAACGGCAGATGAAAAATTTAAGTATCCATGAATCGATGCGATTATTACAATAATAAAAAAATCGATTTTGTATCAATTTCGTCACCGCATTTTTCATCTCTTCACATTCGTTTATTTATTCAACTTGTGTGATGACAAAAACGATAAAACATGCAAATGTTTTTTTGCCCTTTACAAACCTATAATTATTAAACATTGAAAAATATCGTTTTTATCGGTGTGATAAATTCAACATTTCTTTATTAGAATTGAATAAATAACTTTGCTTGAATTCTGCGTAAATAATTTATAATGACTAATAAGATCGTCCAGAACGTTTTCACGTTTGATTTTTACACAATTTAAAAATAAATTTGTGCAACTTACGGGCTAGGATCTTGCAAAAGCGTCGCCAAAGTTAGCGCATTCACCCATTGGTTCATGCTCTCGCGACTGTCAGCTGCAAAGTGATAAGTCCTCATGTTCGCGTGCTCGGCCTTGAAGGCGAACTTCTTGTTAACTTTATCCTCGGGTTTGCAGACGGTAACTCTGTACGAGGGAAGTAATATCGAACCTAGCAGTTTCTCCTCTTCCGGACCTGCAAATTAATAAATTGTTACATTACGTACAACGCGACGACTAAATTTTATTTTCAAAATTAAATATTCGGGTTAGTTTCACTCAAAAAATCCCCACCAAAAATCATGCACGTAATTTGACGTGTCCTATATATCATGTTTGATTGCAAGAAAAAATATCGTGTCAAAAAAAGGACAAAAAAGGATAGGTACATTACACGACAGCTCTATTCATCCTTTGCGAATAAAATAGTGCGGATGTCATGTTCGAATAGTTGATCAAACTATAAAATATTTTTTAAAATAATATAAAATATATTTTTAAAAATACAAAATGTAAAAATATTTTTGACGGCATTCTGTTCTCGATCTTGACAAGTTTGAACGCACCATTGGAGATGGACCGATTTGCAATGTACATATTCTCCTTTCCCGACTCTCGAAATAGTTTTTTCTTCAACCGTTTATGTCTAACAATAATTATAATTAATATATACCATGTGCGCTACTTCCACGTAATTTTAAATATTTGCGAGAGTGAACATTTACATGTACGTTTTTCATGGCTCGCGTTTACAGTAGCGTTGGTTTTGAAAGACAAGGTATTTCGCCACACGAATTACGGAATTTTGAGTTTGTACGAAGCTTGTACATAACCGCGAAATCTCGGCAAGCGAATTGAATTTCTCTCTCACGTTGCGTTTTAGATAAGCTAACATTTTGGTCTAAACGAATTCCAAGCGATCTAATGATAAACGCTAGAGACGTACATACGCAATAAACGAATGCTTTAGCAATTAGAGATATGAAATCTCAATTATTTAATTCATATAAATATTCCTTCTTCATATTTTGATAATAGAAAATGTACAATTTAATTGTTTATACGTACATTTGAATGTGAATTGTACGAAGTAAAATCTTTCCGATCTATAATCTCGAATAGAAAAAAGAATCCATCTATTTGCTTGAAGAGAGAAAGTTATATACTTCTTCAGGAAATACTTGATTTTACTTTACTCGAGCAAAATTGATTAATAAGAGTATACAGTATATAATAAACGAAATATATATATATATCTCTTTCAAGATGGAAGATCGATCACCTATCTCGCGGACATGTTGAACGAACTTTGTAGGATATTTACGCAGCAATCGGATCGAAAAACTTTGTTGCCGAGTATTAGTTTCAGTGCTTTTGCGAAAGACATAAGGATACTCGAAGAGGCTCGACGAGCCGCTAATTAGGAGCAGTATCTATCGAATGTAATTTAACTAAAGTTCGTCACAGTGTAAACGACGCGTCGAGGCGTCCTGAACTTCCAGCGACAACTTCCTTCTTGTTCGAGTAACGTGCAAGACAAACTGAAGTGGTAGACCGCGCACGGAGTGTATCCTTAACAGAGAACATTTCGCACATCTTCGCTGCGACGACTGTGATGCACTGTGACGCACGTGCATCTATAGAATCAAAGGGACCGGGTGTAATTAGCGCTTCGAGTCGGATTAGAAGAGCAACGGTATTCAAGATGACTGGAAATTGGTCTCGTGCGAGATCTAAACGCGAGACGGAGAATCTGAAATTCCTGCTTGAATATATTCGCCAAGCTGATAAATGCGCCGGAATAAAAGCTCGTAAATAGAGCAGATGCAACAATCGACCCGAATATTAATGGCAATTTTATGTACTAAACTTGGAGATCGTTTTTATCGTTCATCATACTTTGAAAAATTCAGAGATTATTTTAAAGAGATAACTGACATTTATTTTATAAGATCGTGAAAGCTCTCTTCAACTGGGTTTAATTTCAAATAACGAAATATTATTAAGGCTTGTAATATCAGTCCGATGCAAAGTAAAAAAAAAAAAAAAAAAAAAAAAAAAAACAAACTTATTCGTTCGATTTACGCAATATGCTCAACAAGAGCTCATTTGCACCGATAACCAAATTTAATTTCCATGCGTCGAATTGGTTGTTAATAGATATTCCCAGGATAATTATTGTTTATACCGGTTCATATAATGCCGATTGTTAATTATAAAACGAATGCAGCGTTATCACATCCGCCGGTTCTGCATATTAAATAAACGCGCTACTCCGAATAATAACAATAATGCTCGAGTTAAAACTGACAGCGTCACATACACATTATTCATCGTGATAAAATAACGGGAAGGAAAGGCGCAAAAACGCTAAAAAAAAAACAGGCTCGATAGAGCGCGATACTCACCCTTGTAATAAAAGAGACAGTACTCGGAGAGGACGAACCAACGTTTCTTCCAGAGCATGAGACCCTCCGAGCCCTGCTTGTGCAGCCAGCCCTGAAGCGCCACTGGGGCAGAGAGCGGCCTTTTTGCAGCGGGCGAACGTAGTCCTCCTTGAGGACCGCTTCGTCTGCGCACCCCCGACACGGATGCCGCCACTCCCGAGCCATCGTGCTTGCTACGTACCTGGACAGGTACGGCGGGCGGCGTGGCCGATTGGACAATCTGTCGAGTAAAAAAAGCCCTTTCTCATCCAGACGATCAATTACGATTACTTTGCGCTACGCGTTAATCGAATGTCTTTAATGTTTAATATTACAATTCAATTTATAATGAAAATATTTTTATTGCGCTGAAGAAGGATTGAAATGTCAGCCGAAACGTTCGCAAAATGTTTATTTCTCTTATGTATTTATTATTTCGTTTATATGAATTTTATTAATATCAACTGTCAACTGTATATTATGTTTAATAGCTCTTATAGCCCTTCTTTGTTTACAATTATTAGGTTTAACAGAGTTAATTACTATTTTTATTTAATCGAATGTGTTCTGAATCCTGTTTTTAAAAAGAACAAAATTCCTTGAGTTTAATGGCTCGTTATTCTTTAATTAATTTCACGAAATTACTCTGCAATTTATTTTACGTTCGATTACAAAAATCGTTATCCTTAAATAATTTTAAATTTGAGTGGATCAAGATGAGATGAAGATATGTAAATTTATTGTTCGATAAGATGAAGATGATTTTGTCTTGAATATATCTAGATAAAATTATACATGCAGCGATTCATTTAGACAACTTCCAGATGACATTATTTTTAAAACCGCTTATATAAACACAGAAAAAATGTTAATTATAAAAGGAATATGACAAAATATATTCAAAATATATATATAAAATGTGCTATGACTCTAAATCAAATTATCTGAACGTTATTGCAGATACAGATATAACACATATTTTTATTATCTATATAAAGATAAGATAACGCCAAAATTTCATCTGGATAATTATCTATATAATTTTATTTAGATACCAGCAAACACTGTTCATGCATAAGTTATAAATTAAAAGGCCAACTTAACGAGCTAATTAATTAGATGTTAACAATTTATTCTAAGTCATAAAAATAATACAAATGATAATTAGTAAACGTTTCAACTGTACGACAGTCTTTATCAATACAAATATCGCTTTGCTATATACAGTCGAAACGTTTACTAATTATCATTTGTATTATTTTCATGACTTAGAATAAATTGTTAACACTTAATTAATCAACTCGTTAAGTTGGCCTTTTAATTTACAACTTATTTTAATTTTACACAAACTGTTTATGCATTTAAATTTTATGTAAATTTTGTGTAAATTTCGAGAGATAGTAAATGATGTCATCTAATTAAATTTTTGTTGAGGAAACATTGAACAGAATCAGCAGAAACATTTATCCAGTTGACATAACGTCTAAAGAAGAGGTTGAATATTTTATTATTAATTTTCTCAAATGTATATTAAACGCGACACGAAACGATTTACAGGACAGACCGTCTGTCACGGTGTGACATTGAGATGAGATATCAAGCAGCTTTAAATATTTTTCAGATTGTAGAAGCAAGACAGAACGTAATACAATCTCTCTGACAAAAGAAAACAGAACTAGAAGCAATAAATCTTTGGTAAAATTTGAAATCGCATCTCTTGGCCGACACATATCGAGATATCTCGGAGTATCTTTTATTCGACATTTTCCTGAACGCGGCTGATCGAAATCTGCTTTTCCGTTCTGCGGCGCGTTGTGAAAACTCTTGTTAACCGACAAAAATGTTGCCACTCGGAACGTCTATTCGATAATGAAAAGCCATGGAAGAGTGAAGAAAGAAGAAGACGCGATCGCCATTTCAACGTGAAATTCGTCCAATCCGTCTCATTTTTCGCTTCCCGTTACGCCGCACGTAGAAAGCAGAGAAAAACACGGGCTGACGTTTGACGAGCAAAAAGATTACTAAATAACTAATTACTTGACAGACGTGTATCGCGATAGGAAGGAAAGCGAGGCGGGTGGCATGCATTTTCGATACGAGAAGAACGCGCGTGCTTCTGCAAACTTCGGTCGGATTTAATCCTGGAAATAGACTCGGTGTATTATGCAGTTCGTTATCGATTTCCCCTTTGTCCCCTTCCTTTATTTCATTTAAAAATACATGCTAAAAAAAAGCAGCGAATTTCAGTACAAAAGATTGGCCAGGTCCGAGGAAAAGCACTTGACAAGTTCCAGCCTTAACGTAAAAATGAATAATTTACCGCTCGCTCTAGTTTGCTCAGCTTCAACTGCTTTTCCTTCTCTCCCAAAATTTTTCGTGACATCCGAAACACGATCAACGACGAAAAATGGTTTACACAAAAACAGAAAGCGTGCGTTAAATTAAAAAATATGCCATTATTAAATTTCTGTCATTACTCTTTCTTTTGCGTACGTGGTCACAATATACGAATGATAATAAATTTCGACAAGATTTAAATGCATTTCCGAGAGAGCTAATATTAATAATCTTTATCCTAAAAGTATCATACAAACTCTCTCTTTTTTTAAGACACTATTATGCTTTTATATGCAATAGATTTTATTTTCTGCAAAAGTTTTCGTCAACATGAAACTCGTAGATGCATTTGATCTAAAAGCATAAATAGATCGAGGGAAACGACGAAAAATGGTTTACACAAAAACAGAAAGCACGCGTTAAATAAATATGCAATCATTAAATTTCTGCTATTACTTTCTTTTGTGTACGTTATCACAATATGCGAATGATAATAAATTTCGACAATATTTAAATGCATTTCCGAGAGAGCTAATATTAATAATCTTCATTCTAAAAGTATCATACAAACTCTCTTTTTATTTTTAGACACTCTAGACTATGCTTTTACATGCAATAATAGATTTTACTTTCTGCAAAAGTTTTCGTCAACATGTGACTCGTAGATACATTCGATCTCAAAGCATAAAGAGAGGGAAACATTCCGTTTCCGGGCGCTCTTCGAATCATCGATAACATGACCTGTATTTTTCTGGAATACAAAACGCCGCGAATGTCTTTAAGAAACTTGCAAGCTACAACTTGCGCATATAAGACGCAAAGCACTGTACAGAGTGCCTCTATAAATCGCACTCTAAATAAAATAGAATTATATCCACGATGTTTACACGCCCGTGGGATACGTCAAATAACAACAAATCGTCCGATCGATTTTCCTCAAAAAAGTTTGCAATTTCCTAACAAAACATTATACAGATGTCTAGAACCATTAGCGCTCGTTCGCTGTTTCATTAATCTGTCCTCGTCGGAAATTTCTTAGAGCGAGTTTTCATCGCGAAAAAGTCGGACAGAGAAGGAGTGATCCATTAAACTACAAGAACCGACGATGGAAATGAATAAACGCAATTCGATGCGATCGAAAAGACGCGAAAGAATTTGCGCGCAAAATTCTTTTGTTCCTTCGATCCTCAGATTCGGGTGGAATCGAATCGCCGATTTCCATCGCTCGTAATTCCTCCCTAATTCGAACGATGCCTCTAATTGGGAGGGCAGCGCCGATGGTGTTTCGCGCCAATCCTCCGCCATTCTCGTTTCACAAAGGCTAGCAGAGATGACCGCATGCGACTCATTAAACAATGCGGTACCAAACAGTAGGTAATAATCGATCGACCGTTATTTATGGCGATCTGCGAATTGCATTGTGCAATTTCCTACGACGCGACATTGCTAATTTTACAATGCTTGACCTCTTTGTAAGATTTAATTTGTATCGCGCGATACGTATTATTGACAGGAAATTATTTCGGGAATTGTACACAGGATATCGAAAAATTACCGCGCGTCAATGATGGTAAATATCTATATAATCGAACATGTTTACCTTTTTGTTGTCCATCCCAGGTGTCGAACTGGTCACCGGTTGGTCGAGCCTGGAACAAAAAGAAGATAACGTTGAAATATTTGCAATAAAAATCATTTTAATAATATTTTATGTTGTTATGTAGGGATCGCTATCTTTTATATTACACTTGTATTTTATTACATTTGTCAGACGAGTCTTGTCAAATCTGATATGACTTTATCGTAAATATCTATATTCTAGTTGTCACCGTTCTGTCTCACTATTCTTTCATAATATTATTCGCTACATTTTCCCCTGGAAGATTTCTCCGCCATCAAAAAATAATCTCGATAATCTTCCGCGACTCGCAGACGAATCTCGACCTCGATGAAACAATACGGACGACCAAGCTATCCATCGGCGTTTTTGGGGACGAGAGCATTGAAAATTTATTGACAATGCTGGCGGAGAAATCGTTCGATATCGGCTCGTCAAAAAAAGAAAAAAAATACAAAAATAAAATAAATATAGAAAAAAAGAAAAAATGTTCTAATATGAAAGTTTCATTCGCCGAGCTTCCGCGAAAGAACCGCCATTCTACATAATAGTGACCGTTATTGGAATAATGTAATTCTGGAATAAAACGCGGGTATTCTTCCTTTAGAAAACCGGTCTCGACTGGTATACATTCACGAACCGCTTCAGCTAAATTTTATGATAAAATTTTTATCTTAAAGGAGAATTATATTTATATCGAACACTTTTATATGACGCATATTATATTATAATATAACCTTTCTTTTATTACAGTATAATTCTCCTTTATGAAAAAGAGGATCGCAGCTTTATATCATCATTTGAAAAATTGCTGTAATTACGCGATATGTCGCCTTTGTAGAATTTTCACGCAGGAGAGAATACCCGTTCAGTGTTATAACACTCATTGAACAACAATCTTAACCTGGCCGCTGAGGCCAGGCGAGAAAGGGTCAATACACCACGCAAGGATGCCCTTCAAGCCGCAAAGGCAGAGACGGATATGCGTGCCAAGCGCATAACGCGCGCCATCGCTTTTTATTAGCCAAGCTGCAAGGTAGAAAAGCGCGATACAGACACGACGTGGGGTTATTCGTTCGGAAAGTCACCTCGGTTAGCGCGCGAGAGATCGATCGATTTATCGTATCCCGGACGATTTTATTCCTCAGAGAGATAGACGACATGTATCTACAAATGTCGCACGTGACGAGACACACGTGAACGAAATGAGCATGAACATTCGCAGGATATTTTCCAGGAGAGACCGGGGCATGGTTAACATTTTTTTATTTCTTATATTTTTGGTTCTTTCTTAATTCTTTTCTTAAATTTAATTTTTTATTTTATTTTCATTTTTTATACACAGAATTTTCTCTTGGAATTCATCCTGAAACTTATGATAATCGCATAAGACAATAAATGATATTGGAAGAATTTCTCTGATTAATATTTACCGCAATAAAAATATATATATGCTGATATATTAAAACTCGGATCTTTTTAACGTCGACTTCGTGCGCGATTTATATGCCATGCGTCCCTTCCAAAATTGTATTGAATTATTAGCAATTGATGACTGCCGGATACCCATGTCCAAGAGTTTTCATTTTCGAACATCGATAATTGAAACATCGATATACGGGAACCTTCCCGAACGTCATCGGAATATAATGAGCGTTCATCTGATATCGTGCCAAGTACGATATTCGATATCGAGCGCTCGATATCTCTATCGCCTCAATTAATAGTCCTAATTTGTGAGAGAAAAAGTTTCCACTTATTTCCTCCAAAAATTCTCAAATTTTCTGCATTTTCTTCGAATAAAATTGCGCATAAATTAGACATAAATCTCACCGAATAATCAATAAAATAATAAAATAATTAATTAAAATTTTAAATACAGTCAATTCTTAAATTTCTACATTAATTGCAAAATTGGCGAACTGGTCGACAACTATGCGACATCGACCTGAAAATTATCGATTCGTTTACCAAGTCTCGAAAGCTGAAAGCGATAACGGAAATGCATCATGGTTTGCCGAAACCGCAGATTCGATTGACCGGTTCTGTTTGTCGTCCGTTTCCAATCCGCTTCATCGAACACCATGATATCCTCTTACTCAACATTAGATCTCCAAATCGCGTTTAGACAACGACTAAGATAATCGACTGTAACGGTGCAATGGGATGTATTAATGTCGAAATGATTAATGTTTATTTGCCCGAAATAGCGTTTGAATGAAATTCTAAATAACTCGTGATTCGCATCCGCGTTCGAGATCTGCGGGTTTTTAATAACTATCATGGGCATTCGCAGAATATTTTCCAGAAGGGTGCATAATTAATTTTTAATTTTTTAATTTTTTAAAATTTATTTTTTATTTTGTTTATATTTTATTTTTTTATATTATATATGCAAATAAATTTTAGTGTTTATTCAAAAGGAAAAGCAAATGCTTAATTTTTTTCTGATTCCAAGGGAGAGTAAATGCTCTCCTCTACGGACACCCGTAATGACTATCCTTAATTGGCGCAGAATTGCTGCTCTAGCGGTGCAAAACAGAAAGAAAGAGAAATATCGCGCTGTATTAATTACGTCGTGAACTTGAGAGTCCTCGGACGTAATTAAAAACCAATGTACTAAACCGCAGCGCGCTCTAATGGAGTTGTTTTCATTCCCGCGATGGCTACATCGCTATTTTCTTCCGCAATTTTGCCCGAAACTCTGCGGCTCCGCGTGTTAAAGGACCTTCATATAAAAGGCAATGTTACTGATTTTTTAAAATATTCTTTTAATGATCCAAATGTGCGAGTTCTATGTAAAACACAATAAAGTGCGTATGATAAATTTGTTTCGAAAAAAGAATCATGCTCTTTATAATATTTTAAATTTAAAGAAAGCCAATTTTTTAAATCTAAAATATCTCAAAAATCTAATTACACGTTAATCTCGTGTAACGATAAAATGCAACTAAGCGAACGCGCAAAGTTCAGCAAAATCAACCGCAGATACCATTCGAGCTTTCTCTCTCTCTCCATCGTGATGCAATTAATTGTATATGCACACGAGAAAACCACGTAATTTTCAGCCGTGATAAACGCGGGATCTCGATTATATTGTAGGTATGGTCGAAATGATTGTGCTAGTACGCGATACGTGACATCTAATGATGCGGCGTCAGGCGTCGTCCTCTACGAGGAGAAACATCGTACGAGGGAATACAAACAACCCCGTTGCGTCGCGTTTGCCCGTCCGCGAATGCACTTGAACATACACCGTATATGTATGTACATACGTTACTTTGACGTTCGCGAGCATCGCGAAATTGGGGTCGTCGCGATGCGGCGCGATGCGCCACGATTGCCAGCCTTCTCTGATGTAGCTTGACGTGTACGTACATTCATTTATTCGCGACGCGCTGCTGAATGTACGTTCGTACGCCACGCGATAGTATCAATCGCGCTGATCTTTTCGAACCGGGAATTCTTTACGAACCGGGACTGTTCGACCGATTGCACTCATATTCGTTTATACAAAATGCCGCGAATATCTCCCGAGGCTCACAAATACCAAAAATCGATTCTGTTAAATTTTGTAATTTTTTTTTGCGACTAAATCAATAAACCAGACATATGTTTCAACATTTCGCTGGAATGTATATTTCTTGAAAACACAAAAATAATATTGATCTGAATAATAAAAATATAATAATAATTATATAGTGACATGTACAGAGTTTTTCGAAAACTATGTCAGAGATTTTAAAGGCGCATTCTGGGGGTCAAAATAAGAGAAAAAGTTTCTATAAACATGGGTCTAAAAATGCTTTCCCTCTGAGTTATAGCCCCCTACAATTGAGGGAAAAATCGAAAAATGTATTGTAACTCTCGGAGACTTTTTCTCGATCTGCGAAAAAGTTTCCGAAAGTTTCAAAACATTTTTAAATTTTTTCACTCATCTTTAAGAGAGCTATAACTTGAAAGGAAAGCAATTTTGGACCCATGTTTGTAAGAACTTTTATTTATTTTAATTCCTAGAACACACTCTTAAAATCTCTCTGACATAGTTTTAGAAACATAATGAAATTATATATATTATATAATATATAATTATAATAATATATTGTAGATATATATATATAATATAATAAATATAATAATAAACAATAGAATCAAAATAATAATTTCGTCTAGATTAGGAAACGTTGCAATACGGAAGATAATTGTGTGAAATGTTTTCAAACGCTTCGTCTACGTAGTCGACATCAAAGTATCGCGCGTATAAAACAAGTAGAACCGCCTGTAGAAAAAAAAACTGTTCGTTATTCTTTGTGCGTTTATTGCAGTATTCATGGTACGAGCGTATACATGTTTACCGTAATACAACACTACCGCGTGTCGCACGCGATAATGAAATTAGAGTGATTACGCTCGAACGTTGAAAACGTGACACGAGAGAAGGTACAAAGTAAAACGGACAATTAAAAAACGTGATGCGTAGGCATAGAGAGCTTGTTGGTCATCTGTGAAAATGAGAATTTAATATGGTCCAGCGTGTTATACGTGTCCGTAAATTTAAATAACACGCTTCAAATTAATGCGGTGGTAATTACATGAAAATATCATCCTTTCGGTGAAGGTCACCCTTTGCGGTTTCTAATATTTTAGTGCGTCGGATAAAATTTACTCCCTCGTGTAAACGGTATCGTCGTGAATGCTCGCGATCCTTTAAGTTCACCCTGTCAGTTGACCCAGAAAATTTATATCGAGAATATCCGATATATCGATATCCTACGGAAATAGATGCGAAGGAGCGCTGCGAATAATTGGACGACCGATAAATCGCTAATAGACGTGAACGACGGAGATGGATAATAGATACACGTATATAAAAGTCGGCTATATAAAGAGATTTTTTTCGCCATTGACCTTGTCGGATTGCAGCATCCGTAGGGAAGGTCAGGTTAAAATTAGCGCGCGAAGCTACACATATGAATGAATAGACCTCGACCGTGAAAGTAATCGCTCGAATAACCACGAGCAAACGTGTGT